ACACACCAATTCAAGAGCTTTTCACTCTTGTCTTTCTTTCTCCTCCTTTATTTCATTATAGAGTATTTTGTAAGAGAGTGAGTGTTGGGAAACACTTGTGTGAACCCTTTCTTTGGAGTGATCTTGTGAGGTTATTCTCTTGGGGTATTTGGGATTAATTAGAGTATTTACTCTAATTTTGTACTCTCTTTTGTACTCTTGTTGGTATAGTGAAATTGCTCCTCTCCGCTTGTGGGCGTAGGTCACCTTGACCGAACCACGTTAAATTTGTGTCTTCTTTATATTCTTTAATTGCCGTTATTATCACCTCCCATTATCTTTGTTATTGCCATTATACCGTTGTTTGGCTATATTCCGCACTACCCGGGTTCCCGATCCTAACAGAAGACATAATGGCTAACTCGAGAAGTTAGGATATAGATCATTGTCCACCCGTAGATCACGGGAGTATAATATCTTTGATACTGTTCTTATTATAGAAAACCTCTTTCTTTCTTTATGGGTCTTCCAAGGCCGTTAGATCAAGATAAGAAAGATAAGAATGGTATTAGATAGATGTCTTCTTCATAACTGAAGACATAATGGCTAACTCGAGAAGTTAGGATATAGATCATTGTCCACCCGTAGATCACGGGAGTATAATATCTTTGATACTGTTCTTATTATAGGATGAAGGTTCATGTGAACTGTCTATCTTGCAGTTAATTATACAATAGAATTCTTTTACAAGTTGTTAATTTCTAGCTTTTGAAATATTGGTGTTAAATGGAGGCCCCCATTATTCACCGAGTTTCGATGAAGTTCTTACACCGATCACGGGAATGTATATTTGATAAAGTTCTTGTTTCTCGCTACAGGATGAAGGTTCATGTGAACTGTCTATGTTGCTGTTAGTGGAATTCTTTTACAAGTAGTTAGTTTCTAGATTTTGAAATATTGGTGTTAAGTGGAGAAGGGTAGAGAGGCGGGCCACTTTTGAACTATACGCACTGTTTCTCGGGGATTTCTCTGTTATAAAAGAAAAATATTGGTGTTGACTGTAGATAAGTTTCATGTTACAGATCATTTATTGAAGACTCATGGGCTGGCATAGAAATATCTGCTCAGAACAACAATTTTCCAGGTCTGCGTGACAGGTTAGTAACAGTGACTGCAACTTTGGGGGAGAAGATGCGAGCAATTGAATTGATTCTACATAAGTTGGCAGAAGACCATCATTATATAAAATCCAAGAATGCTCCATTTCCATTTGCATGTATACTCAAATTATAATTATTTAGGAATACTTCCAGTCAAGTAACTGCTCAGCATGAATAAGATCTCTTATGTCTTGATCATTTCCTTTTTGAATGACTACCCTGAGATCTTCGACTTATGCTCAGTTCTCCTAGGGATAAGCAGCTTATACCCAAGGGTGTGGCCTAGCGGTCAATGAGTAGACTATTGTTGACTTGATGCCAGCATTAAGGAAATTGTTTCTGACCTCATATGGTCATCTTGTGACTGAATCCTTGCTTATTACTTTTTACACTTTTAAAATATTAAGTGTTTGAAGTGAGTATTCAAAATTGGAGATATTCTTTTTCTATCTTAATCCTGAGCATCTGATTTCCAATTTTTATATCCTCCTTCCTTTTCCATTGCAGTTTATCTGGGAATGAACTATTGACCACCAAATGGAATTGGAGGGAGATTTACAAATAACTGATATCAGAACAAGGCCTATTCCCCCATTGTATTAGGACACTATCTTATGCCCGTATGCAACTCTAATTGCAACCCTGCTTTCAGCAAAAAGTCAGCTTATTGCTTTTTCTTCTATCAGCTTTGAAGCTGATGATCATATTCTGTTTCTAATTGTGGTTATGCTATTCTTTTGTCTTTACCCATGCCCAGTTTCTTTTCTTGTGTTGAGCTTTGACACTTGGTGCTTTTGTGGCATTGCAGGAAGATAGGAATAATTCTGTGACTATTGGTGTTGCAGATGAGCCTATAGGGTTGGTGCTTGGGCGGAAGGAATATAATGGAGATCAGTCAGGTTTGTAAAGAAGTTGCAATTATTCCCTGCTTGCATATATTTCAGTCTGTGCTTTCGTTGCAGCTTAGTCGGGCCAGAATAAGGATTTCAGATAGGGTGTTTTGTGTCCGGTATTTCTGACCTGTATGACATCCTGACATTGTTTGTTTCGCTTAGCAGATTGAGCTATACAGAGTAAACATGTTAAACAAAATTTTTCACCTTTTGCTGGAAGGTGACTATTATTGGATCCTAAAGAGCAATCCGCATGGCCGAGTCCATGATATTTTGCGAAGTAGCAACCTTTTCTCTGAGAGATGACAGGTTGGACTTAAATTTCTAATAGTTTATGTAGTGATCCCACAGACAATCCACTTAGAAAATAAAAGGGAACTAACTTTATAAGGCATGCTTAGACTGAACAATTAGGTGCAAATCTTTGAAAAGCTCTTATTGTCTTTATTGCTGTTGGAAAAGCTCGGTAAAAAGGGACATATTTGACAGGAAGCTCTACTCCATGTTCAGATGTTTTTGCAACAGTGAAACAATCAGGCAGCCTCACCACTATGCCTGTAAAAAATGTTCTCTTCACCCAGCTTGAAATGTCCATGGTCGAAGCAGATTTCTGAGTCCCATTAGGTACTATACTATACTATCTCGTTCATCAATAACGACTAGTAAAGATTCATAAGTTGCAGTTCGATATTGCCGCTCACTTTCATATCTCCGAAGACTTTTATCAAACACTTTCCGCATTATTTGGCAAAACTCTTAGCTTCTTCATTCAAGTGGTTGGATTTGCCATACTCTAAAGAGTAAAAACTTACCCCACCTAGTGTTTACACCAAGCCAATAACAGTGAGACATGTCTTGCATATACACTTGTTAACACTTAGCAATGGTTAAGTGATCCATTTTCACTTTGATTTGTTAATTCTTATGGTTAATCGTGTAATTAGGTGTAAACATTCAGTGCAGGTAATTATTTACCTACTCCAGAGTTACCCGTTCTTGGTTTTGACTTTAGACCCTGCTCAGTATCAAGCCGAGTGCAATTGTGTAAGCAAAAACCGCGTGGAAGCCACGCCATAAATCTATTGGGACCACAGAATTTTACAAAGATTTCTCTATCCGACAATGCACGGAATACACCTTGATGGTAATCTCCACGACAAGCTCCTATCCCGTTGCCTTTAAGTGGAACCTTTGATATAAGAGACTGCCAGTGCCATTTTTGTTTCGGCTTCGGCAGTACCATTCCCTTTGACTAGCACGTTCTCATCAATCATTGCACACAGACCTCGTAGTGTACTGGAACCCGACATGATTCCGCAGTTGCAACTTGACTTAACAGCTTAGTGGTATCTTTGCGGGACTTGCATCAAACACCTGGTCTATGGGACTGGAAAGTCCATTTTCCAAATCATTGTCTGCAACTGAAAGCTCTTGAGCTTCGGCGATTGCCCTGGAGTAAACAAGTTGGGCATCAGAGGATGAAAGTCAATCGAGTTGTTGAACCATACGAGAGTGATTCTCCACCAGCCTCAATGTGAAATCAAGGATGCTGAAGTGGGTGTTGATCACGGTAGAAGCTTGGGGACGACAGTAAGCTATGGACGAGCAATAAAAAGCGCCAATGTTTTAACACATGATAACCTGAGGAGAAGGGGAATGTCAATCTGCTCGAGGTGTTACTTATGTGGCCAAGAGGTAGAGACAATCAGCCATCTGTTTCTACCTTGTAGAGTGACTAGTTAGTTGTGGGACTTATTCATCAACCTCAGAGGCATTAGATGGTATTGACCAGGAAGAACATCTGAACTATTGTCAAGCTGGAATGAAGGGGGGAAGTGCACTGCTTCCAACAAAAACAGATGGAAAATTGTCCCTGCAACTATTTGGTGGACAATATGGAAGGAGAGGAAAGCAAGATGTTTTGAGGATTCAACTAGTTCTATTCAGAAAATTAAGATGAATTGTATTCTTCTTTTTTGTTTTTGGTGTAAAGCAGAATATAGTGACGACTTAGAGTCAATTCTACAGGTCCTAGATTCCTTGTAAGAAGAGCAATGATTGTAATAGGGAGCTTTGTAGGCTTTTGTAAACTCTTTCTTTTGGCTTCCAGCACTTCCTTTGTGCTGAAGATTGATTAATACAAATATACATGTTACATTGTCAAAAAACAAAAGCGCCAATGTAGTGAATCCGTAGACACTCCGCTCATAAAATAAAAGGGAACTTGTTTATATTATGGTAGCTGAAAGGAAATTACAATTACCGTAGATAAAAAGGAACTAACAAACACTTAAGGGTGTCGCCGAGTAGTCAATAAAGTGGGTCGAGAGAACCATAAGGTCAATTGTTCAAATTAAGCAGAGGCAAAGACACTAGGTGGTTTTTCTCATTAGTCCACGTCTTTGTAGATAGAGTTGCTCGGTACTGGTGGGAGATATTAGATATCCCTATCGAATTAATTGAGGTGCGTACAAGTTGGCTTGGACACCACAAATATCCTTGCCATCCCGGTATTCTTTTTAGAGAAATTTTCAGAAACCACTACGTTTTAGGATTATTAGCTTGCTATAGCTACCATTTACTAAATTACTTCCTATAGCTATGTTTTCAGTTGTTATAGACTGTATTCGATGTATTTTTGCTACTGTATTCATGAATACAGTAGCAAAACTCGACGAAAAACAGAGGAGTCCAGCTAAGCAGAGAATGTATTCGACTGTATTCGCGAGCTGTATTCGTGAATACAGTAACGGAATTTGAGAAATAAAAGGTCTTCAGGTGTTTAAAAACGGTAAGTGAATCAATTAACGCGTTAGATTCCTAATATAGCTCAACAAACTCAATTATAACACACAAAATTTGTATTTTCAGTTATAAAAAAGATTCTCATCAACCGAAAAACACCCCCAAAACAGAGCAATCTTCAGAGATTGAATATAGTTAAATACATAAAAATACATTGAATACATGAAGTATAGCAGGTCATTTATAGTGCAAAAATAAATGAATACATACTACAGATACATTTGAATACATATATACATATGAATACATAAATTATATTAATTAAAAAAATATATGAATACATTCATGGAATACAACGAGACAGTGAATACAATGAAATACATGGAATACAGCGAGATACATTGAAATACAATGAAAAAAAAGGTAACAGACTTTTCAAGTTCCTCAGCCCTAAACTCCATCCCCAATCCACCGATATCTAGACCGCCGCCATGTGGGGCGTCGCCGCCGGTTAAATGAAGACAGTTGTTGAAGAAGCACCAATTTAAAGGATCAAACGGAAACTAGAGACAGAACTTCTTCAGATCTCACAAGGCAAACATGAACAATCAATGCAAAATATAAGAAAAATTTAGAATGTGTAACACAACTGTGTGAAAGAAATCGTCGGCCGGAGGAGGGGGGTTAGGGGTGACACAACAAGGAAGGGGGAAGTGGTCGCTGGCCGGATCTGTCGTTGGCGGAACACAGCCCCTGCTAGGGTTTCTAAAAGTAGGGGAGGAAAAAGCTGGGGGAAAAAGAGAAGAAAGAGAAAAGAGAAAGGAGGAGAGGGGGAAGAGAGAAATAATACACAGCGTATTTAATGGCTTAAAGGTAGGAAGTGCCCATAAATAGATATTTTGCTATAAAAATTAAAAGGTAGCTATAAGAGATAATTTTTTAAAAGGGTATTTATTTATAATAAATAAGGTATCAACCTTTGCTATATAAGGTAAAATTTCCTTCTTTTTACCCGACTCTTAACACCCCACTATCCCAAATTAACCTTTGCCTTCTAGCCCTATTACTATTTCTTGGTCCAATAAGTAGAATTGGCGTGGGATAGCCATTTTTTAACATGACATTTAGTTTTTATTCAGTATTTTTAATGCTGAGAAAAAATAGTCACTACTCTATTAAAATTAATATGAAAAGACGTTTTTACCCTTTTTTCATGAGTGCTATGTAAATATTAAGGACATGATGTCCTTAAAGTTTACACTGCATACATGAAGTTAAGGACGCTATGTCCTTAACATTTACGTTGCACATATGAAGTTAAAGGACATGATGTCCTAAAGTTTAACAACGGAAAGTGCAAATACAGGAAAAATTTTGTCCTTAATATTTAGGGAGAAGGTCTAGATTTGCCCCTCTACTATTGTATATTGTTTATATTTGTCCCCCGTTATACTTTTCGTCCACTTAGCCTCTACCGTTAATAAACTTTTCAGATTTGCCCCTAACTCTAACCCTAACGGCCTTACCCTATGGCAGCTGACCCCTCTAATTTTTTTCCATGTCAGCTGCCAAGTCAAATGGGCCCACCAAATTAAAAAACCCTAGACCCATAAACTTGACCCATTCTACCCACGTATTTCCCTTAAATCATCCCCATCTGAACCTCACGCTTTTATATCCCCCCTTGTTGAAAATGGAGGACTTTGTCAAATTTCAATGTATTGATACCAGTATATTCTTGAGAACTTTGGGCTCTAGACTTGGTGAAAGAATTATATTATTCCAGCATCACTTTTGTTCCTTAGGTGGCTCCTCCAAGTTTTTGATTCCACTGGAAATCAAAAGATGGTGGTTTTATTAGGATTATATTGTAAAGCTCTGAATCTTTACCTTCCAAATATAGGCAGCAAGTTCTTCATGAGACTCGTACAATAAGTCTTTCACAGCGTCCTCGTCAAGCGTGTTTCAATTTTCTTAATCATAATCTGAACCTTTGTCAAATCCAAAATCTCGAGCTATTAAAAAAATTCACGTTTTTCTTTTCAAATAGTTGGATGTTTTGCATATGGATCTTCCATTTTGACTAAGACCAACATATGTTTTGTATTTTCCACTTCTGGCGAGCATAGAAAGGTGGCAGGGCAGCTTAGAATATTTAGGGGAAATGAGTGGGTAGTCAAGTTTATGGGATTTTAATTTGGTAGGCCATCTGACTTGGCAGCTAATATGGACAAAAATTGGAGGGGTCGGCTGTTGTTAGCCCTCCGCCTCTTTGGGATAGATTTGGCAACGAGAGCGTTGTCAAGGCAGCAAGGGTGTTGCCAAGCTAAGGTGCGTGAGCTAGCACCAAGGCAAAAGAGAGATGGGCAAGCGATGGCCAAGGTCTTAAGACAAACAAGACATGCTTGGCAAAGGCTTGACAAGGCAGTGTGGGCAAGTTGGTGCGGCATGGCACGACATGCATGCCAAAGACAAAGGTGCGGGCAATTCAGTTTATGGAAGCGCCAAGTACAGGCTGAGCTAAATCAAGATAGCACAGAATGATAGCGAGCAGTCTCAATAGCTAAGGCAAGGCTATGTGAGGAAAAAGACAAGCAATGGCATGGGTAAGACAAGTGTTGACAAAGACAAGGCAGAAACACGGCTAAGGCAATGTGCGTGCGACAAGAATGTCGGGTGTGTGCAGCAAAATCATGGGCAGCAGGTTGCGAATAAGGCATTGTTGCGGAGCAATGTAAAAAGGCGCCAAGGCTGGGTGCAATGCCAGCCTTAGGGCGTGCAATAACTGACCAAGTGAAAAAGGCACATGCAGTGCACATGCCGAAGTAGTGGACGTTTACCTTTTTGTAATAACTTGTACCCATGTCTGAGTAGTGCTTGTATCTAATATTATTTCGTGTGGGAAAATGGCCTAAGTAGTTGGGAGATGTCAACTACAAGTTATGACAGATTTAACAATGCTGTGTGACAGGCTTGTTTCAGTGGATGGTGGGACCAGTGCTCCACAAAGGGGGCTAAGTGCTCCACAAAGATGGCTCAGTGCTCCACAAAACAGAGCTAAGTGCTGAAGAGGGCCATTTCGTGGGTGAGTGCCCTATTAAATGATTAAGTGCTTATTTAGTGCTCTGACTAAGAAAAGCACTAGAATGGAATTGCCCCTTTGTAAGTTGCCCTTTCAAATCTGCCAGTGACAGCCCATATATAGATATATGGGGGTATTTCATGATTAAGAGCATCAAGACTGAGAGTGGTCTTAAGAGAGGGTGAGGGAGTTCAGATGTAATCCTTCCAACCATCAAGACCGAGAGTAGTCTTAAGAGAAGGAGTTCAAATGTAGTCCTTCCAGAAATCAAGACTAAGAGTAGTCTTGAATGAGAGAAAAACGTGTTGAGTGCATGTTTAACTTAGGAAAGAGTTCCTAAGTGTGTTTTCAAAAGTGAAAATACCTAAGGCTAAGAGTAGTCTTTGAGAGAAAATCTGAGGGTCAAGAGTGATCTTCATTTTTGTACACGGTTGTACTTGAGTTTGAGTTTCTTTGTATGCTCGAGTTAAATACAAAGTTGGGAAGAAATTCTTGTAAATTGTGCCTTGTGTTCTTGCTAATTTACCGTTGCCTTACTTTCAATTCGTTGCCTAAATCAGTTCAATAAGGCTTACTACGTTGAAGCTGCCCGAAAATATTCTAAGTCCAAAGTTGCTATAATTTTGGCGGCTGAAGTCAAGTGAGGGACTTGACTGCCGCACATGCAGGTTTCGATGGACAGAAACCACGCCCGTGACAACTGGTATCAGGGCTAAATGAGAACTACTCTGAACTGGGAGCAGAACGGAGCAGTGCAGGTTCGTGAAGGAGTCACGACGAGTAGTGGCAGATTTCGGGGTCTTGTTCGAGAACATGGACAATGGTAATGTCGAACTGCGGGAGAGGCTAACGAAATTAAAGAGCAATGCTAATGAATACAAGGGGAATGGAAAGCAAAAGGCTGGAACTTCCAAGAGCAAAGAGATGAGACCGATGGGCGTTGATTGTCAACCCCTTAGGACTCATAAATTGAGTTAATCGATGAGGACGTCGAGTTTCAAAGGGTGCAGGTGGTTTGTCAGCCCTCCGCCTCTTTGGGATTGAGTTAGCAACGAGAGCGTTGTCAAGGCAGCAAGAGTGTTGCCAAGCTAAGGTGCGTGAGCTAGCACCAAGGCAAAAGAGAGATAGGCAAGCGATGGCCAAGGTCTTGAGACAGACAAGACATGCTTGGCAAAGGCTTGACAAGGCAGTGTGGGCAAGTTGGTGCGGCATGGCACGGCATGCGCGTCCAAAGACAAAGGTGCGGGCGATTTGGTTTGTGGAAGCGTCAAGTACAGGCTAAGCTAAATCAAGATAGCGCGAA